TCCCTGCGTGGAGTGGAGCCTGCTTCTCCCTCTGCCTGTGTCTCTGTCTGTCTCTCTGTGTCTCTCATGAATAAATAAAATCTTTAAAAAAAATTTTTTTTTGAATTTTTTAATTGGACCTACAGACTGAAAACCTTAAAGGCTGAGAACAAAGACAGCACCCAGCAATGGAGGTAAATGAATGAGACACGGCAAGACAAGACAAAGGGTATGAGGAAAGGGCAAAATCCTTCCTGTTTTTCTGGGTAAAATTTCACAACCCAGTACATTTTGTCTTTGGCATGCTCCCACACTCATCCCAATGCCCTTTCCAACTTTCCCAATACCCTCTCCTATGTCCCTTGGTGACTCCACATACTCTGCATACCCTCCACCTACAGCAGTATATTCTTTAGGATCAACCACTTCTTCATCAAGAGTCAAAAATTATGGGACGCCTGGGTGGCTCAGCGGTTTAGCATCTGCCTTCGGCTCAGGTTGTGATCCTGGGGTCCCAGGATCGAGTCCCGCGTCGGGCTCCCTGCATGGAGCCTGCTCCTCCCTCTGCCTGTGTCTCTGCCTTTCTCTATGTGTCTTTCATGAATAAATAAATAAAATATTAAAAAAAAAAGAGCAAAGGCAAGAGTGGAAATAATTCCCTACCAACAGAAACCATCTAACCCTAGATCCTTTACTAGCACTAGCATGCTATCACTTACTCTACACATTTCCTCTTCTGTAAAAAGAAGGGATCGGTCTAGGACCTGTGACCATTCACCATTATTGCCTTCCAATCTTACACTTCATTATTTCAATGTCTAACTCACAAATTCCTTGTGAAGAAAATAGGTAAAACTAAATAATTAATCTAGCTTGCTATAAGGCGTAGAACTGTCTTTCATACTACTATCCAAAAACAGTTATAAATATTTTTACTTATTTTTTCAAGATTTTATATTTAAATAATCTCTACACCCAACATGGAGCTTGAACTTACAACCCCAAGATCGAGTCTCATACTCCACCGACTGGGCCAGACAGGCATCCCCAAATATTTTTATTTAAAACTTCTGGAAAAAGTCTACCTACATCAAGTTCCACATCATGTAATTAGGAAACCCTGCTTTACACAGTTAACTCACTTTTAACAGAAATTCAATTTCTTACCAAATATCTAAGTATCAACAGATCATTTAAAAGCAAGATCCAAAGGGAGCAAGTGAGAATCAACAAAAGAGACAAATTTCAATTAAGAGATTAATTACAACCCATTTAATTCATACCATCCCACATACACAGACATTAAACACAGGGAACTTTTTACTGCGTTCTCAGTTCATACTAGTATCAGTGTCGGGTGATAGGAGAAGGTAAAAGGTGTGTCTTCACCTGTACCCTCAAAGAAACATGCCTCTGTGGAGCTCCGTTTCCAAATGTTCGTATGGCCTCTTTCCCTGGGGAGATGCCTTGCGGGTACAGAACTCCTTTAATTTGGCAGTCGTAAAGTCTGCTATCAGAGTTAATGTTTTACCACTCAGACCTAACAAAGGCCCCATTATGAGCCTCCGGGTCTAAGATGTTACCAGATCCAGTGCTGGGACAGTTCTCTCTGGAAAACTGCTCCATAGAAACTCTCCAGCACTCGGCACTCTCAACTTTGCTCATTCTCACACATCTGATGATCTGAACAAATCTCCTTCTCCTACATTCCATTCTTCTCCCTCCTTCCTAATGACATTTTTTAACTCGTGATTACAAAAGTGATTATTTTTTATTACCATTGATTTGTGACATTTCACATCATCTCTATTTTTAATCTTACTAATAAAAATCTTTTGTGTTTTTTTAAATACTTTTTTTTAAAATACTTTTTTTTAATTAGAGATAGAGCGCAACGCAGGGCTCAATCTCATGGGCTGAGCCAAAATCAATGACACCTAACCAACTGAGCCACCCAAACACCAAACTAATACAAATGTTTTTAACCTACAGCTTATGTAAATCACTAGCTACCATGAAGTCCAGGGCATGTTACCCTACAGACAACTACTTACTTTCCTCCAGATTAAATAAACCCAGAACCTTTTATAGTTTTACATAAATCTTAAAACATTGCCTCTAATTCTGATGCTCTCTTCTTTCTCTATCTCAAAATATAAGGTCAACAAAATTCAAGTTAAGACTCTAACAATTATTTCCTTGCCTCTCGCAAGTTTCCTGGACTAGTTAGATGGGTTAATAATTAGAACATGGTTTTGGTGACTACAGATCTATTTTCGCCATAGGCCAGTTAGTTTCATTTCACACAAACTATGTTCCAAAACCAAAGATTAAATCCCATCAGCAATCTCTTGGATGCAGATTTAACTAGATGAGCTATACGGTGCACTCAGTATGCCTTCCATCACTGGAATGTGTATCTACCTGATATGTTAGGTAATAGCACTACATTATCTTCTTTTAGTATACTGCTATAAACTGTTATCTTAATAAGTGATAAGCCGCTAATTCCTATTCAACTCATGTTCCATCACAAAGTCTTCTACTTAATACGTACACAGTTAGTTTAGGTTACCCAGTATACCAGCGGACAGAATTCAGTGTTAGATAAAACAAGTAATCACAATCATTTTAAAATTCTATTTCTGTCTTCCCAGAGTTTTAGCAATTAAAACCATTTTGTTGTCATTCCAAAGTATAAAGTTATTTCCCCCGTCACCCGGACCATTAGGGAAAAATTACAGAATAAAGACAAAGTTTCACAGGATGCCTCCCTATCACTGATCATGGCCCATCTCCTAGGACTGCTATCAATCTTCAAAGTATACTCACATCTTCAAACCTCATATTCACAGTGCTTGCAAGACTACCTACCAGGTTATACAAGCAGAGCCTGATTTAGTGTATAGAACGAAAGAGGCAAAGGGAGAATTGAAGTGTCTCAGCTAACCTCAAAACTCTCTGAAGTAATTACTATTTTTGTTTTCAATAAGAAAGAACTGGAAGAGGAGCAGCCCGGGTGGCCGGTTTAGCGCCGCCTTCAGCCCAGGGAGTGATCCTGGAAGAGACCCAGAATCGAGCCCCATGTCAGGCTCCCTACACGGAGCCTGCTTCTCCCTCTGCCTGTGTCTCTGCCTCTCTGTGTCTCCCGTGAATAAATAAATAAAATCTTTATTAAAAAAAAAAGAAAAAAAAACAAAGAAAAACAACTGGAAGATGATGAAGATCAAGGAAGTTAAGCAATTTACAATGTAAGGGACTTTGAAGACAGAGGCAGAATCCTAGCTCTCTGTTACCATATGGGACAAGCTGTTTCTATTTCTAGGTTTACCATGTTAGCAGTCTGTGACTGCGGGCAACTTAATATCCCTAAACCTCAGTTTCCTCATCTGTAAAATAGGGTCTAGGGGTTCCTGGGTGGCTCAGTGGTTAAGCATCTGCCTGTGGCTCAGGGCGTGATCCCGGGGTCCTGGGATCGAGTCCCACGTCGGGCTCCCTGCATGGAGCCTGCTTCTCCCTCTGCCTGTGTCTCTGCCTCTTTCTCTGTGTGTCATGAATAAATAAATAAATCTTTAAAAAAAAAAATTGGGTTTAAATGAAATAATCCATGTCAAGTGTTTGATTCAAAGCCTACTATGTAACAAGCTTACTCAGTAACTATTAGCACTGGTCAAAGTCAAACAGTTAGTTATGAAAAGTCAAAAAACAAACTCCAGTCTGATTTTCCAAGTCCATGCTTCTTCTACAATATGTTGTAACTGCCAATGAATAGTTCTTATCCATCCACGTAAGAATCTATACTTGAAATATGACATCAGTGGAAAACTGATGTTACCTAAATGAGAGAATTAAGAGGTAACCGAGCCAACAGAAGTATTTTAGCTCTAATATCTAATAAGCAAACCACACAGAAAGTCATCAGAAGATAACGTTTAGACATTCAAGCTTACAAAGCTTTGTTGTAACTACTATAAAACTATTTTCCTATATGTGTAGGAATATATCTCAAATCAGTTATAAATTAAGATTCTTAATTACCAAGCATACTCCAAGTAAAGCAACCTGATTGACCTGGACAAAGAAATCAGCCCTCCTACTACATAATCTGAACACTGCATAAACTGAAGCCTGTCAAGTGCATCTTCAAGAAGAATTGCTACTTATTTTTATTTATTTATTTATTTATTTATTTATTTATTTCATTCATTCATTCATTCATTCATTCATTCACGAGACACAGAGAGAGGCAGAGTCCCAGGCAGAGGGAGAAGCAGTCTCCATGCAGGGAGCCGGATGTGGGACTGGATCCTGGGACCCGGGGTCACACCCGGGTCACAGGCAGGTGCTCAACTGCTGAGCCCCCCGGGTGCCCCTGCTACTTCATATTTTCGTGTGTAACTATACTACTTATAAACTGAGACAACCAGTGTCCTCACTTTTCCTGCCCAACACCCTGAGCAACAAACAACAGCTTTCGCCAACCTTGACAGACACCTCACTGAACCGTCTCAGTCCTAGGGGTCTGACAGTGGCTGATGCACGAGCACAGGAGCAGAACCAGGATCAGTAACAGGCTACGGGGAACCTCCAGGAGCTGATCTGTATTTTAAAAAGCGCTGCTAACCCAGGATGGGGTGTCCGCACACACTCATTTTAGCAAGCGTAGCCTACTCGGCAAACAACAGTCCTCCCTAGAAAAGAAGGCCACACGTACTCCTGCGAAACAAAGTACACGTGCCTTGGTAAGGAGGCTGAGACCTAGCCAAAGGCACGACTCTTGTTTTTACAGGTTTTATTTATTTATTCATGAGAGACAGAGGGGCAGAGACCCGGGCAGGGGGAGAAGCAGGCTCCCTGCAGGGAGCCCGACGGGGACTCGGGGGCTGGACCCCCAACCGGGGGTCCTGCCCGGGCGCCTGTTGGGGACTCGGGGCCTGGATCCCCGACCCGGAGTCACGCCCGGGGACCCGACGAGGACTCAGGGGCTGGACCCCTGACCTGGGGTCACGCCCAGGCGCACAATGGGGACTCGGGGCCTGGACCCCAACCCGGGGTCACGCCCGGGGGCCCATCGGAGACTCGGGGCCCGGACCCCCGACCCGGGGTCACGCCGGGCCGAAGGCAGGCGCTGCCCCGCGGAGCCCCGGGCGCCCAGGAACCACACGTCTAACCTGGAAGTCAGCCCTTAGCGGAGAACCGGAACCGCCTGGCTCGAGCGACACCTGCGTCTGTCGCGCTTTCAGGGCTGTCCGCGGCCGACTCGCGGGTCTGGAGCCGCCTCCGCCCGCAGGCGTCCCCCTGAGTCAGCTCCGAGGCGCACGGAGGGGACCCGGTCCCGGGCGCTGAGCCCCGCCGCGCGCGGCCCGGGGCGAGTCCTACCTGGCGGCCCGGGGACGGGCTCCGGGGACGGGCTCCGGGGACGGCCGCCGCACCCGCCCCGCACCTGCCCGCACTGCCCCGCCGCCGCCGCCCAGGAGCGCGGGTGCAGGCCCCGGAGGCCGCCGACCGCAGGCTCCACGCCCGCCGCTCACCCGCCGCCGGCTCCCGGGGGCCTCGGGGCCCGAGCAGCCGCCACTCCGCGGGGCGCCAGGCCCGGGCCCGCCGCCGCCGCCGCCGCCGCCGCCGCGCTCAGCCCAGCCCCATCGCCCGGGGCCGCTCGGGGTCGCTCGGGGTCGCGGCGCGGCGGGCGGCGGGCGGCGGGGGCGGAAGGCGCGGCGGCCGGGCCGGGCCGGCAGCGGGCGGCAGGAGGGCCGCGCGGGCGGGGAGGGGGCGGTCTGCCCTCGGAGGCGGCAGGGGCGGCCGGCGACGAAGCGGCCCCCTCCGCCGCGGCGCCGGGACCTCAGCGCGGGCAGCGGCCGGGGAGCGCGGCGAGCTCGGGCCTCCCGCGCCCGGATGTGAGGTCACGTGGCCGCCTCGGCCGAGCGCGCCGCGGAGGGGCGCGGGACGTCGGGGGCGGGGCCTCAGGGGCGGGGCCTTGGGGGGCGGGGCGGGGGGCGACGGCGCAGGCCCCGCCCCGCGAGCCAAGGGATGCGGCGGGAAGGCCCTCGCCCAGCCGCCGAATGCGGGCGGGAGGCTGCGGCTGCGAGTGCAGGGCAGGGGGCCCCGCGCGCCGGAGGCGGACCTGCCCCCCACACCCCGGCCCCGGCCGCGCAAACACGAGCTCTTAGCACAAACGTCCCGCGAGGGGCCTGCAAGCCCGGCCCACGGTCCAAGTCACGGGGGAGACGGGCGCGGCCCGTCTGGAGCGGGAAGCCAGATCCCAGCCGTGACCCAGGTCTCCGCCGCTGCCTGCGGCGCCCCCGCCCCCGCCCCCGCCCCCGCCCCCGCCAAAGACAGAAACGCGCAATTCGCCTTCGGCGGCGGGCTCTGCGCCACGGGCCCCGGGAGGGGCGGAAGCGGACCCCAGGGACCCCCACGCCCACCGCCTGCGGCGCCGGAGGCTCTTCCGAGGGCGCTGGAGGCAAACTCCGCACCTCCGTCCGCACCGCCCCCCGCACCTCCGTCTGCACCTCCCCCTGCACCTTCCCTCCGCACCTCCCTCCGCACCAGCCCCCGGAACCTCCGTCTGCACCTCCCCCGCACCGCCCCCCACACCTCCGTCCGCACCGCCCCCCGCACCTCCCCACGCACCTCCATCCACACCTCCCCCCCCGCACCTCCTCCTGCACCGCCCCCCGCACCTCCCCACGCACCTCCATCCACACCTCCCCCCCCGCACCTCCTCCTGCACCGCCCCCCGCGCCGCCCCCCGCACCTCCGTCCACACCTCCCCCCTCACCTGTCTGCACCTCCCTCCGCACCTCACCCCGCACCTCCCCCGCACCTCCGTCTGCACCTCCCCCGCATCGCCCCCGCACCTCCGTCTGCACCTCCCCCGCACCTCCCCCCCCCCCCAGAGGCTTGGTCTCCACAGGCTGCCCACCCGACCCGTGCCGCGCCTTTGGTTTCCGCCACCTGCTGCCAGGGCTGCGCCCACCTGGAAGCGCGCCTCCCTGGGGGCCTCCCTACACCTGGCGACTTAGACGCGACACGGGGACGGGGGCGACCCGCCCGGCCTTCCGCCACCGCACCCGAGACCCCTCCCCGGAGGCCAAAAGCATTCCGGCTCCGGTTCAGTAGTGGCACCTGGTGACACCTGTCCCAGGCCCGCACTTACGGTGACGCCTCATGGGGACAGGACGCTGCTCGGAGTCCGCAGTGCAGGTGATGCGGGAGGGGGTGAGCTGCACCTGGCACGGCTGGCATCCCGCAAACGACCCCCTGGGTGGGCAGGTGTGACATTCTTCGGGAAGTTTCCAATTGTCTTCGTGTTAATGCCTTGCTAGAGGGAAAAGCAATCTTTAACTTGACATCCCAAGGCGTCCAGTATCTCCTCGGTCCTCTTTAGCATATGAAGGACCTTTTGAAATCTCCCTTTGGGGAGGCCTGGGGGGCTCAGCGGCTGAGCGGCTGACTTTAGCTCCGGGCGTGACCCCGGGATCCTGGGATCGAGTCCCACATCAGGCTCCCTGCATGGGGCCTGCTTCTCCCTCTGCCTGTGTCTCGGCCTCTCTCTGTGTCTCTCATGGATAAATAAATAAAATCTTAAAAAAAAAAAAAAAAAAGGAATCTCCCTTTTTCCCTACCTCCCTCCCACTCCGCAGGTGTGGCTGATTAGCCACCCCTCCTAGGCCCAGGGCAGCTGCTGTTCCCGCCCCCAGGGTCCTGTCCCCGGGCTTTAATAAAATCAGCATTTTGCACCAAAGACGTCTAAATTCTTTCTAGGTCGGCTCCAGATCTCACTTATGTCCCAAAACTTCATCACAGGTGTCACACTGCTCCTGGCTCCCTACATTGTGTGGAGCTGGACGGTTTCCACGCATTTCCTCACGTAGCATAGACAGCACACTGCACCTGGTGGGCCTGTATCTCCCTTCACAACCCCTGGGCACAGTCCCACCACTTGTGTGTGTGTGTTTCCTTTAAGCCTTATTGGTGCTCAAATGATAAGGGGTGTGTTAGGGTTGTGAAACTCTGAGAAGCCCGCTGGATAGGATTGAGCCCTTAAAAGCCTCCTCCCCAAACACTCCTGGCCCCTTGGCTCCAGGCTACTGCTTCTCAGCCTTTAAACCAGTTCAGGTCTCTCCCAAATCTGAAAACAAAGCTGTGGTGCCAGCCCTCCACTCCAGGCGCTCTCTCCAGTTAGCTTCCGAGGGCTTCTCCCCCTCTCATGCAGGCTGCAGGCCTCTTAGACGGGTGTGTGTGTGTGTGTGTGTGTGCACACGCATGTGCGTGCGTTCCCTTTTGTCCTGTCCTCCCCCTTCACCCCCCTCCACTTCCTCATTTCTCAACACTTGACAGTCTGGCTGCTTCTCTCCTCACCCCCCCCCCCCACTGACACACACACCCCTTTGCTAACGCTGCTCAGGCAGGAGTAACCTCTGACCTTCATTTACCCAAAGTGGGCAGGTACTCCTCAGGCCTATCTCTCTGGATCTCTCTACTACATTTGACACCTCCAGATGACTCTCACCTTCTGGAATCTCAATACTATCTTGGATTCCAAAGGAGTGCACTCTCCCAATTCTCACGTCTCAGTAAATAAGGCCCCTGCCTCCTCTGGTCCTTCAATGACATCACCCGTGAATCTGCTCCTTACATGCAAGACTCCCTGTAAGCCCCTCAGCTCCTCTCAATCCACACTCCTGGGGATTGCCTCCGTCCTCACGGTGTCAACTACCTGGTCAGCCATCTGCAGGCCTCTTTCACAAAAATTAGACCCAAATATCCTCAGTCCGGCCTGCCTGGCGGCTCTATCTAGACATATCACCCAGGCACCCCAAACTCAGCATGTCCGAGAGACTGAGCCCACCCACTAGCTGCATAGTGGCCCACTCTCAACTGCCCCCCCCCATTACCCAATGTCATCAGAATTAGAAAGTTGGAGGGACGCTGGGTGGCTCAGTCAATGAAGTGTCTGCCTTTGGCTCAGGTCATGATCCCAGCTTCCTAGGATGGAGCCGGGCTCAGTGAGGAGCCTCCTTCTCGCTCTCCTGCTGCAGCTCCCCTTGCTTGTGTGCTCTCTCTCTCTCTCTCTCTCTCTCTCTCTGTCAAATAAATACATAAAATCTTTTTTAAAAAGTTGGAAATCTTGGTTCAGCCCTTTGCCTTATCCAGGAACCAAATCCTACCTATTTTACCTCCTTAGTAAGCCTGGAATCCCCACTGCATGGACCCGCCATCCTTTGGAGCAGCCTCCTAAGTGCCGCCTTCAGGCAAACTCAGCCTCCACTCAGCCTCCAGAGCATCCCGCAGGAGCCTGTCAGTGCATTGAGGCTTTTCAAAGGCCCCGAAGCGCCCCAGACCTCAAGAAGCAGCCGAAATGCCTAGAGCAAGGCAACAACCACCAGGGCAAGGGAAAACTGTAGGAAGAAAAAAGGCAATTGAACTCTTCAGGAAATTCTCTACTACAGATGTTCTGGGTACGACAGAAGAGATCTGGACGCTGCCTGGAAGAGATGCTGAGTCACCAGGAGAGGCTTGAGCCTGTTTATAAGCTGAGGGAAAAGATGGAGTCAGGAGAGGAGAAGAAGGCCAAGAAGGTAGAAAAGAATGGAGCACGTCCAGAGAAGTTCTGGGAGGCGGGCTGACGCCCCACCCGCGATGATTCCAGCCGGGCCCTCCCTCCTGTGACCCCACTCTCTTCCCGACCCCCCGACCCCCGCGATCGCAGCGCCAGACACAGTCCTCACTTGACCTGCAAGAACCTGTTGGCATGTCCTTCGCCCTCAAAACCGGTAGCCTGCTTGCCTCTGCCACTCACCGTCACCGCAGCCACGGGACCAGAGGAAGCAGCCACACCGGAGCTGCCCCGTGGCTCGCCCTCACTGTGTGTCCCGCCCTTCACAGGACGGTGCTGGGCCTCCCCAATGTCGCACGGTTTCCGACTCCAGCTGATGCTTTTCAGACCTTACCTTCAGCATCTATCTCCTATTCTTTTTTTTCTTTCTTTCTCTTTTTTTTTTTTTTTTGATTTTATGTATTTATTCATGAGAGAGAGACCCAGGCAGAGGGAGAAGCGGGCTCCATGCAGGGAGCCCACGTGACTCTATCTGGGATCTGGGGGTCACGCCCTGGCCCCAGGCCGCCCTCCTCCGCTGAGCCCCCCAGGGGTCCCACAGGGATAGCTTTCATTGCTCCTTAAAGGTGTCTGGGCCCCTCCGCGGAGAAGAGTGCGGGCCACCTACACCCCCCGGGGCTGACACCGGCTGCAACAGCCGCAGCGCCTCACTAGCGCTCAACCCTACCCTGTGACCCTCGGCTCTGTTCGGCGTCCCCGGCTACGCGGCCCTCTCATCCTCACACCCTCATACCCTGTCTCACTTCCGCCTCATAAACCCACTTACCGGAGACGCGGCGCTGGCCCTTCTGCCCAAACCAGCTCTGCCCGGGCTTCCTGACCTCAGCAAGAGACCGACCGTTACCCACCAGGGCTCAACCGGAAACCTGGGGGTCATTCTTGCCACTCACCAAGGCCATGTCAAATCCTGCTGCATCCCTCCACTGCTACTGCTCTTAGAATGACCCAAGCCCCCTCCATCTCTCACCCGGGATCCTGCCTTCCCTCCTACCTGATATTTTTCTACTTTGACCCTTCACCCTCTTCGGATCCTTTCTCCCACAGCGGCCACGGCTCGTTACTGCGTGTGACTCGGAGCACAGCTGTTGCAGCCATCCAACCGCTTCCCATTTCATGGAGAATAAAGTGAGGATTTCTTTGACCTACAAGGTCCATTGTTGGATGTGGCCTTCCCCGGCATCCTCCACCGTCACTCGTCACCCGCTTCTTCCCCAGATCCGCTTCCCCACCTCACCTTATCCTAACTACAGTGCGCCTTCTTTCACTTCCCCAAACACACCAAACTCTTTCCTGCCTCAGGGCCTTTGCAAACCTGGTCTTTCTGTCTCTTCCCTTTTTTCCCTCACCTACCTGGCTCTGACAAATTCAAATTCAGCTCTTAGATGACTATACATCAGTTCTTTTTTTAAAAAAATATTTATTTATTCATGAGAGACCCAGAGAGAGAGAGACAGAGACACAGGCAGGGCAGGCCCCATGCATGGAGCCCGATGCGGGACTCGATCCCAGGATCCCGGGGTCACACCCTGGGCCGAAGGCAGGCCCCAAACTGCTGAGCCACCCAGACGTCCCAATATAGGTCAGTTCTTGAAAAAGGCCTTCCCTGGCCACTATTATTTTCTGATGACCTCCATTTAGTATCTTTATGACAATTATTGCAATATTAATTATGAGTTTATGTATGTGTTTAATACTTGTCTCTCTCATCAGACTTCAAGATCTGTAAAGATGAGGACCAGCTGTAGGTCCAGAATTTTTCTAGAAGAAGCTTAGAAGTGGCAATCTTTTTGGAAGAGGAAGTGAGGGTTTCAAGACTATGTTTGCATGGCACTTAATTAAGAGGGACAAAGTGTCAGTTCTTTGTAAATGAGGGACAGGACTTTTGGAATTATGGGAAAGATGCACATAAAATATGCCTCCCAGGCCATCTCTTGGTGCTACTACTGGGAGAGACTGAGTTGATCTTATTTATCACTATATACCTCGCAGTAGATGAAACCCGGCATACGATAGTCAAATTTTATAGTTGAATGAATCAATGAATGAATGAGAGGATGAATTCAGTCTCAAAAATGATCTCTCTCAAAGGCCTTTCCAGGCTAAGAATTCCTCTTCTGTGCATCTTTTTCTTATCGCATTTGCAACCTTAAATAAGTATCGGTGTTTCTAGTCTCTATTTGTTTATGTTGTATTCACAGTTTCCTTTCTATATTTCCAAATATTTTCATGGCAACAACAGTGCCAACACTAAAATTGTAGTTAGTCTGCCTTTGGCTTAAGTCCTGATCCTGGGGTCCTGAGATCAAGTCACACCATGGGGCTCCCGGCAGGGCGCCTGCTTCTCCCTCTGCCTGTGTCTCTGCCTCTCCCTGTGTGTCTCATAAATAAATAAATAAATAAATAAATAAATAAATAAATAAATAAATAAATAATTTAAAAAAATTATCATTGATTTTCACGACCACCATGTCAACCCAGCAATAGAATGGTGATGAGTCCCATTTTATAGAGAT